GAACTGGAAAGTGACCTGAGATGACATGATGTGAATTGGAGCTATAGAAATAAACTGAATAGAATTGATTTTGTACGGCCAGAGAAGAGAGAACGAAGGTAATGGGCTTGAAAATGATCTTCAAAGCTTAATGTTAGAGAACTACATCTGAGGTCGGCATTCAGGAGACTCAGTAAGTCTTAACATCAGTCATTAGACACTGTGTACATGTCAGCTAGTTAACTTTTTTGTTTTTCTGTCCATCTGATTACGTATAAAGAGGTGCAGAATTAGCTAAACTTTACTAGAACTTTACCTGGGAAAAAGTGTTTTGTTAAGATGGGACTACATTTGAGATTTTTCTACAAACCAAGACTTAAGTTGAGTTTCCCTTGAAAAGGGTTAAAGCTCATGAAGCACGGTTGAGACCGTGTGATGCTGTGGGTCCGTCTGTCTTCCAAAAGCAGCAGGATAATTCAAATATAGTGCAGCCCTTGACTTTTCTACAGGTTTCATTGACAGAGCGTACTGCAATAAAAGATAAATTAGTATGAAGGTTTCCTATATGTACATATTTTGAGATATTTCACATGATTACCAGGGGTTCATAAGATGGAGGAGATTGCTGTTTATTCTGTAAAGTCCACAAGAAACTGAGCGCTTGAAATCAGCGTTAATCACTCAGCTTTCACCAGATCCACCCCAGTGTATAATCATTAGTGCCAAAACCAATTTAGTAAAGCGAAAGATCAGCATACACCTGGTTAAATTACCTCAATCACCTGTAACATAATCAACCCGTGAGCAGATGAACCCCTTTTGTGGATGAACCCTTCTCCATGATTGGACGATAGACAGGAAGCGGCAGGATTAGACACAGATGGGTCAGTGGAAACATAAATTAAATGGGATTACAGGCTTACTTTAGCGTTAGATTTCTTCTTGTGCCAAGTGCCAATATGAAATGAGCTTTGAGTGTTGCTGCCTTTACTGTCCTCCTGAGTGTGATTCTAGAAACATACATTTTATTTGCAGGTGGACATTTAAACACAGCTGTGTTAAAAGCCTGAGCTCTGTAAGCTCTGCTGTAGCATGCTGGGGATAAAAGGCACATGTATCCGAGTACATGGCTCACAGAAACAGCTAGAGGGGAGGGGGCATGCGTTCCTGCTAGCATCGCTAGAATGATCCATAACAACAGGTGAAACATGGTGATTATTTAGAGTGTTAGTACGATCACCGGGTTCCTTTTTGTTTAAACAATCCAATCATAAATCTATAGTGTGAAGAAAAAGTCAAACTGGAGAGCTTAAATCCAATATGATCATAATCGTCCTTTAAAAGAAAAGAGATTGCACCAAAGGATCGCTGGTTTCAAACATAACAGTAATAATAGTTTTGCTACAAACTACTGTAAGATTATTCCTCTTACTACTAAAGTTTAAACAGTTTAATAAACATTTATCAAACCAATAACAGAATAAGAAAACTATGAAACCATATTAAAGATGGATCTCTGGCGGCGCCATTTGTGTCCGTTATGCTCACCGCTCTGAAAAAGTGCTATTATGTCAGTGTTGTCCTGTTGCAGCAAACTTTAACGTATCTAACAGGGTCTTTCTGTGAGCGACCAGGTGAAGAAACATTTTTACCGTCACAATAAGAGGCATGAATACTGCTTTAAACTTCACAGTAATATAACTCTCAGGGATCTTTCTGTTTAAAATAATAGAAAAATTTATTTTGTGCAAAGTTACAAATTACAGTCAAGTGTTTCTCCTATTTCAAAGTGTTTATAACAAAATATGACACATATTTTATAGTGACAGATAAGAACAAGTCGAAATGAATGCTTTCTTTATTGGATAAAATTAAATCAAATTGGATTCGAGAATTGAAAAACAACCTGCAGTTTACTGCCTTAATATTATTTAGTAGGAGCAAAACATGCGGAAATGAACATTTAATTTAATATGACATTTTTTAAAAATCCCCACCATCATCCAGCAGATGTTCATTTTCTTCCCAAATATTTTCTTTTTGTTGTTGATTTTTGTCACAGGGATAACTAGGATCATAAAAACTGCTTTTTTTTTATTAACTATGTTTATTCTCTACTTCCAAACTCAGCGGCTCTTCATCCATTCCTGCAATAAGACGTTTCTTTTGACTGGATTTGATTAAACTTTTAAGCCCCTCGGTATAAAATAAATATTTTAAAGCAGATGAGAAATCTGCTTCCTGGTTGGTGAAGAACCAATAGTTTGCATCCAATCTTTTAAATAAACGGGGTTAGGTTTTTGGAATATATAAGAATTATGCTCTAATTTTTAGTTACCGATCTGTCGTTACTATATTTTAATTTGACAAAGCGGATCTTTTCTATGTTCTTTTTCCTGTTTGGTGCGATTGTAATTGCGAATCTTGACCTGGCCGGACCGGAGCGGAGATAAAAAACAGCTAGGCTCGGTATTCTGACGCTGACGGATGGAGAAGACATAGGTGACGTGCGGAGGAGCAGCGGTGGATGAGGAAAAGCTCTCATTAATTGACATCACAGACAAGCACTCCGCACGCCGTACGTGAGCGGGGCGGAGACGGATGATGTGGAATCTGGAGGTAATACGTGGACTGGATTTATTGTTAGTTGTTTGTTTTTTTTTTAACTAGACTGAATGCAAGGGACATTAATAATTTAAGTTAAAGAATTATGATTCTGACATTGTTTATTACTATTTTCCTTTTTTGTGTATTGAAGTCTTTTGAAAGAAACTTTATTTTATTTTATTTTTTACATTAATGTTTAGGGTGATAAGTACTATTTTGTTTACATCCTTTGTGTGGTTTCTGTATTGCAAAAGTAAAATATTACAACAAATAGAAATCTTATATGCAGGAGAGACCTGACTGGCACCCCAGTTTTTGACTATAGGAAACCCTCACAAGTATGGTGTGCAAGTCTGCTCACATTCAGAATTCAAACTTCTAAAATTACTTTGAATATGAAATTATTCCGTCCTGTTCAATAAATGATCAGTGTTTTTAATTC